GCTCCCACCTTAATCAACATGAAGATGATTGCCAAGGTGGGAAGGCAATATGTGCGGGCCACCGATGAGTTCAGTGAGCTCTTTGCAGACATTGAGCTCCCAGGAGACGAGGACCCGCAGCCAGAGGCCGGCACCTCACATCATAACAGGGCCTACTTCGATGCCCGCTTCGATGCCTTACAGCAGAGCATCGACAGTCGATTCGATACCACTCAGCATAGCATCAGCGCCTTGCAGCAGAGTTTTGATGCTCGCTTTGATGCTCATCAGCAGGGTATCGAGGCCCTCAGACAGGGGTTTGATAGCCTGTCCATCTGGATGCATCACCGCTTCCCGGACCCGCCACAGGACCCGCCGGCAGAGGAGTGAAGACCGGCTACTTTTTTCCGCTTTTTGTGTATTTGTTTGATTGGGCTTTGCCCCACTTTTTAATTATCTCTGTACAAATTCATTCTATTAATGAAATTTGTCATTTTGAATTCAAATTCCTTAGCATTTTTAATTTCTGTACAGCAAAAGCCAAAATCAATAAAAAAGGCAAAATACAGAAAAAGCCAAAATCAACAAAAAAGGCAAAACACAGAAAAAAGCCAAAAACATCGATAAAAGGCAAACATAGAAAATCCATAAAATTGTACAGAATAACTGAGCCTGAAGAGGCTTGTCGAAATAATACTCCCTTATCAGAATAACTGAGCCTGGAGAGGCTTGCTGAAATAATACTCTCTCAGAATAACTGAGCCTGGAGAGGCTTGCCGAAACAATACTCTCTCAGAATAATTGAGCCTGGAGAGGCTTGCCGAAATAATACTCTCTCAGAATAATTGAGCCTGGAAAGGCTTGCCGAAATAATACTCTCTCAGAATAATTGAGCCTGGAGAGGCTTGCCGAAATAATACTCTATCAGAATAATTGAGCCTGGAGAGGCTTGCCGAAACAATACTCTCATCAGAATAACTGAGCCTGGAGAGGCTTGCCGAAATAATACTCCCCAGAAATATCTTAGCTTCCACTCACGGGCCAAATTCCCCAGTGAGAGCTATCGAAACAAGATCAGCAAGATTCCCCAAGGAAGACTTGATCATCTAAACAGAATATCCAAGTCGAAAGGACTTAAACTTCCCAAGTGGAAGATAGTTTTCCAACTCAAGCAATGAGTGAGGCTAAGCCTGAAGAGGCTTTCTAAATAATACTCTGGGATATATAAACTTTAAATCCCCATTCGCCTACTCAGAGGCACCCCTTTTAAAAAGAAAAATCATAAAAGATCAATAATTATTCCCCAAGCGGAATTTGAATTCCAGCCAATCATTGAACATCAAAATGATACGCCTAACAGAAGAGGCCAATCAGAATCAACAACCAGAATCCCCAGTGGATAACGAGCCTACACAGAGGCAACAAAATCAGAAAATCAAAAAGAGTCACCCGAATAAGGATAACTGGGATACTCCACCAACGTCGAAAGGACGTCAGCCGATCATAAGGCACCGCTCATCTCAGAAAGAGCAATAGATGTGGCTAGACTAACAAAACATGTAAGCAACTCACACCAAATCCGAGAGCAACACTTAACAAATTTTCACTCCTTTTTGGCTTTTTCTTTTGCTATTTTCTTTCTTTTTCTTTTGCAAAATATTTTTCACTTATTTTTCTTTTGATGTTCAGGAGTTTCAATGCCTTTTAAACACTTAGAACTCTCAGATTTAACGTAAAAATACTGCAGCAAAAATTTCACACAAAACAAGAGGTGTTCACATGCATTTTGTAACTAGTGCTTCACTATTTTGTTTTATTTTGAGGTAAAATTTTTAAGCACTCTTTCTTTTGTTTTTCTCATGCATTTAGGACACTCACACCTCTGTTTTGCCTCTGTTTTAAGGTTCAAAAATTTTCAATAAGTTTCAGCCACACAACTAGATACAAAGAACCTAATAGGAGAAGTGTTTAACAATTTTTTTGACAAAACTTTTTAACAAGACATAATAGAAACCTAACTCTAGGAAATTTGCTAGAACTAATAGCAAATTAGGAACTCAATCATGTAAAGCAAAAGCACATATAGTAAGGTACAGATTTAATAAGCAAAGACACAAAAATTTTCGGATACAAAAACACAACAAAATTAGGTCAAACAAGCTAGTCTAGGAATTTTCAACATACAAAGGACTACACATGACTTTCTAGGACAAAACAAGTGATTCAAAAACAAAATCTATGCAATATGAATGTTGTCCAATCATAGACACATGTTATAGAATGGAGAGACTCAAGCAAAAATTAAAAACGCACAAGAACAAGAGTACCTAAAGCACAAAACAATTGATTCACGGATTCAAAGGAACAAGCAATAACATGAATCAATTTAGTTCACATATGAAATATAGGATCCATCAAAAAAATTTAGAAGACATAGATCCATGCAGAAAACACAAGTTTAGACAAAAATAAGGAAGGAACAACACGGATTCAATGAAGAAAAAATTAGAACACATAACCTCAAGAGCACTAGGCTCTAGATACCAAAAATGATGGAGCTAAGTTGAAGAAGATTGATTATCTTCAATAACTCCATGCTAAGGACCGAAATGCCTTGAGGTTGACACCTTTAGAATTCTGAAATCTCATTTGAAGAAGCTTCAATGGAGGAGAAGTCCTTGAAGGAGGTTCGGCCACTCCTTAAGCTTGTGAAGGAAGCTTGAGGAACCAAGCAAAGTTTGAAGAACTTTGCTAGAAACCTAGAGAGAAAATTCCCCTACGGTTTTGGAGACTCTTGAGTGAGAGAGAAAATCAGATTTTCATTCTCAAAATGTTCAAAAGTGAGTACAATAGAGGTATTTACAAATATATAGGGAGAGGTAGCTTGTAGAAGAAGCTAACCTTAACCATGGTTCACTAGGAAAAAGCCTTCAAGTGGATGTCCTTTGCCTTGGCCTCCTACACCTTTTAAGAAGCACTCAACCACCTTCAAGACTAGAATATTAGTGCTAAAACTGAAAAGGAACAATTTAGAATAGCTACACCAATTGGTAGAAAAGAATGAGACAAGACTAGAAAGAGTTTCACAAAAATGACAAGCAACAATTAAGGTTAATTTGGAAAGCTAGCACTCACAAGAATAACCTATGAATGGCACTAGAATTGGATTACAAAATCAAAAGCTAAGATTATAAACAAAAACAAGACACAAAGATGTGGCTAGACTAACAAAACATGTAAGCAACTCACACCAAATCCGAGAGCAACACTTAACAAATTTTCACTCCTTTTTGGCTTTTTCTTTTGCTATTTTCTTTCTTTTTCTTTTGCAAAATATTTTTCACTTATTTTTCTTTTGATGTTCAGGAGTTTCAATGCCTTTTAAACACTTAGAACTCTCAGATTTAACGTAAAAATACTGCAGCAAAAATTTCACACAAAACAAGAGGTGTTCACATGCATTTTGTAACTAGTGCTTCACTATTTTGTTTTATTTTGAGGTAAAATTTTTAAGCACTCTTTCTTTTGTTTTTCTCATGCATTTAGGACACTCACACCTCTGTTTTGCCTCTGTTTTAAGGTTCAAAAATTTTCAATAAGTTTCAGCCACACAACTAGATACAAAGAACCTAATAGGAGAAGTGTTTAAAGAGTCCGACCATCGTCGCGATTGCCAAGGTCCGTTTCGGCCGGTTGCGACAACTAGGAGGCACTGCCACCTTTACTGGGATTAATTTATAATCTTTGTTTTATTATGACTTCTTGAGTTTGATACTTATGTTTATGAATTATGAATGTGCATCTTCTATCTTATGATACTTATTGTTTTATATCACTCTATGAAAATTTTTATAAATATAGTTTATGCTTATTATGTAATTATGTTGGGGTAGAGGGTGTCACATTAAGTCCTTTCATATTAATAGAACTCAATTATCTTAAATTATCTAATTATTTAATTGACCAAACTTGATAACAACAAATTTATGTTATTTATATTTTTTTTAAAAATTATCATTTTATTATTTATTTTTCTTAATTACTATATATATATATTCTAATAAATTAGAATACATATCTTATGCTATTTATTTTCCTAATTAATGTTTATCTTTCTTTGAGGGGCCTAATTAATGTTTATCTTGTTCTTAACTCATTAATTAGAGGGGAGTTTATAAATAATGTATTTTATCAAATTAAGATAATACATTTTAGTTAAAGATATTTTAATTTAAAAATAATAAATATATGAGATAATATGAATTAAGTATTATATAAAAATAATTCTTTTAAGTTGAGCCTTATAATTAATAACAAAATAACAAAAGTAGTAAATTTGTTTCGTTTAGTCATTATAAATTTTTTTTTTATTATTTTAAATTCATGACATTTTTTAGTGTATTTTTAATTTTTATCATTAATTATATTTAATTTGTTTAGTGCTGACATAATGAAATAAATGAAAAATATTAAGATAAGAATAAATATTTAAATTAACATAACCATATTACTTTTAGGTGCATTACTTAACTATATAATGTGTTCATTGTTTTATATAGATAAGGTAATTACATATAATTAACCTTAATTTTTTAATTTTTAATATGTTATGAACACTTACTTTTCAATTCACTAATTTAAATTTAATATTTTATTATTTAAAAATTTAATTTATTTAGATAATAGTTTTCCTGTATGACTTAACTGTTTGTGATGTATATTGAAGAATATATTACATTTACTCAAAATGTAAAAATAATAAATAATAGATAAAAGAAATATATATTTTTTATTTTTACATTTCTTAAAGCTCATTATCCATTAACTGCATTTCTCCTCTGTGTGTCAACACCTTTATTTGATAATTTTTACACTCTCTTTTAACTGCACCGCCCTTAATGTGTAAATATAAAAGTTTAAACTTTTAAATCGAGATCACTCTCTTTCTTCTTTCTTTTTTTTTTTTATACTGTCAACAAGAGAAGAGAAAAAAAAAAGATAAAGATAAAGGGAAAGTCACACTAATCCCGTAACACGGGGAGACCCATGGCATCAGCAAAGAGCTGAGCTTCTAACCCAGTCGGAGGCTCTTCGAGCTCCAAAAGTGCGATTCTAGAATTAGGCCCCATTTTAGCAAGCATGTTCGCACACATATTTCCTTCCCTCCAAGAATGGATCAGACTAAGAGTCCATGGTTTAGCCATTAACTCTTTAATGTGACAGAGGACCCCCGCATACCCGTGAGAATATTGAATTGGTTGCTTGACTAACTCCAAAGCCATTTTTGAGTCTGAAACCAAGAGAATAGACAGATACCTTCTAGTCCAACATAATTGAAGATCATGTAAAATAGCTAACAATTCAGCTTTAAGGCTAGTATCCATTCCAATATCTCCCTTAAATCCCCACAACCACTTGCCATCAGAATTTCGAACTAAACCTCCAAAACTTGTAGGTCCTGGATTCCCAAGAGAGCTTCCGTCAACATGAACACTCACTTGAGGACCTTCTGCCAGCACACATGAAACCCACTCGGGGACTTTGCAGGTTGGTGTCGCCTCCTTACAAGCTGCAAAGCTAGTTTGCATGATTGTATATAGCTCATGAATCTGTCGAATTTGGTTCCACGGCTTCCCAACGAGCCCGTTAAACACATGCCTATTCCGGTCTTTCTAGAGCTGCCAACAAATGATTGCTGGTAAAATGCGAAATTTTTTGAAACATCGAAGCATCCAATCCATCCAAGACACATTATCATTCCATCGGACCACCTCTGTCAAGCCAAAAACCTGCCAAACTCGATCAGCACTACCACACTTAAAGAGTATATGTTGCATGTCTTCATCAGCGTCACCATACCGCGGACACGTCGTGTCCTGCCCCCCATGATGATTGACTAGCCAGCTATGCATAGGTAAAGCCTGTTGTCCGACCTGGCAAACAAAGAAGCGAATGGATTTCGAACAGGTAAACTCCAAATCCATTGCCAAGTACTCCTTGTTACAACTCCAACATCACATAACCACCTATAACCGGCTCTGGTAGTGTACTCTCCATTAACAGAACTGCTCCACACAATAACATCCTCCGCATTAGGATGGAGGCATAGTGTAAGAGCCTGAAGGCGTGCCTTGGTCTCATCTAACAGCCATGAGTACAATTTCTCAAGAGCCCAATGTCCATCATCCCAAACATCACACACACGAATATTAAAATCTTGCAGATGAACAAAAGGAACGGTAGGAGAAAGGTATGTGCCATAAAACCAATTTGTAAACCAGAAACTACTATGTCCATTGCCAAGCTGCAACTGAAATCCAGGTTGTAAACTATCATATGCCTTTCGCAAGGACCTCAAAAAATATGAACCCAAAAGTTGCAGGAGTGAGGTGACATTATCGACATGATATTTAGAGAAGATAACCTGTACCCAAAGCTTGGTAGGGTGGGCAAGGAGGTCCCAAATCAACTTTCCTAATAATGAGGTATTCTGGAAACGAGCCACACGTACTCCCAGCCCTCCATCTTTCCTTTGTTGCATAATTTTGTCCCATTTAACCAAGTGCATCCAATGAGAGTCAGACCCACTCTAGATAAATTTTCGGCTAATAGCATCTAGCTTCTCACATGTACCTGATGGTAGCCACTGAGTTTGCATAGTATATGCAGGAATAGAGGATAACACAGAGTTCGCTAATGTAACGTGTCCTGGACGAGCCAACAAATGACCCTTCCACGCAACAAGACGTTGTTGCACCTTTGACATAACTTCCGCAAAAGTGCGATTAGAAACTCGACCTTGCACCATTTGGAAACCCAAGTACTTCCCCAACTCACTTGTAAAGTTGATATGAGTAATAGAAGTGATTTTATTTTTACGGCGAGTAGGCACCCCGCGAGATGCTAAAGCTTTAGACTTATGAATATTAACTTTAAGACTTGAGGTAGTACAAAATTTCTCCAAAACAGCAACAACCCTCTGAATTTGTGCGGGTTTAGCTTTGGCAAAAATAAGCACATAATCGACAAAGAACAAATGAGAGATGGGAGGTTTGTCAGAATTAGTCTGGTAAGGCTCCCAAATCTGATACTTTTGCCTGGATCATATGCCCAAGCCTCTCCATGCATAACACAAATAAGTATGGAGATAAAGGATCACCTTGTCGTAACCCCCGTTGTGGCTGAAAAACCCTCCATACGCTCCCCATTCCAAAGAAGGGAAATAACCGAAGACTTTATGCCTGACATAATCAGCCAGATCACGATTATCAAAAATCCAAAGGTTACCAACACCTCCTCTAAAAAATGCCAGTCAACTTGGTCATAAGCCTTCTCTAAGTCAAGTTTAAACACCACATCTCCTTTTTTCCGTCCAGATTTAGACATACTATGGATAATCTCCTGTAAAACAAGGGCATTGTCCATAGTACCTCTACCTGGTATAAAACTACTTTGAAGGGGGCTCACCAGCCTCATTAGAATAGGTCGTAGACGATTCACCAAGACTTTAGAAACTAATTTATACACAACATTACATAAGCTAATCGGCCAAAAGTCTTTAAAGGTCGTTGGGTGATCAATCTTTGGAATAAGGACTAGTAGAGTTTCAGTGGCCTAAGGGTTAATCCTTCCCGTCTCAAATGCCATAGCTGCAAACCTCCAAACATCCTCCCCCACCTCATTCCAATAATTTTTTTAAAATATTGGTTGAAAGCCATCAAGGCCTGGAGCTTTATAAGATTGCATACTCTGCAATGCCCAAAAAACCTCCTCCTTTGATATAGGCGCTTCTAGTGATGTGCATTCCTCCCCTGATAAAGAGATGGGGCAAGGTGGCATTTCCACATGGGTTCCTTCTGACCGACCCAACAAGTTTCTATAGAACACCACAGCTTTATGTTTCAAAACATCTGTATCAGTACACCAACCCCTAGGAAGATTAAGTCCTATAATTTTGTTATGTTTTCGGTGAATCATAGTTTTTGCATGAAAAAATGCATTGCTTCGATTCATAAGTTCAATCCATCTCTCTCTGGACTTTTGATACCAAAGTATTTTCTCTTGCCGAAGTGTGTCTTCATATTCCTCAAACAAACGGTTGTAGAGTTGTGTATGTCTAACAGAATCAACTCTCTCAAGATATCGTTCCAACCCTCATAAACGAGCTCCTAAACTTTTTTTCCGAACAAAAATATTGCCAAACACTTCGTGGTTAAAGACTAAGGAATCTTCGCGGACCTTCTTAAGGGCTTCAAAAATATTATCTGAATGTTGGTGCCATGCATTAGCCACCACCGTTTTATACTCCCTATGTGTAAACCAGGCTGCTTCGAACCGGAATGGCCGGTTCTTGACTGGTGGAAGGAATCCTCAACATCTGAGAAGGAGGGGATTATGATCAGAATGCCCTCTCAGAAGTACTTCAATCATAGCATTAGGAAAATCCAAAATCCATAGGATATCACTTAATCCCCGATCTAGTTGTTTATGAATTTGAATCATGCCATTTTGTTTCCTATGCCAAGTAAATTTTTTTCCAAGTAGCTTCCAATTCACCAAACAACAATCATCTAGATGCTGTGCAAACGCAGTAGCTCTAGATAGTTGAAATATACCACCCCTCTATTCAGTAGGAGAGAGTATATCATTGAAGTCACCCTTAAGGAACCATGGAAGGACCATCACCTACCGAAGCTCCTTTAAATATTGCCATAATCAATCACGTTCAGCTGGGACAGGATTGGCATACACCCCCGTGCAACACCACACCTTCCCAGACATAGAGACTTGCACTAAAATAGCTTGTGGGTGGGAGCCAACTACCTGACATTGTAAGGTCAAAGTAACCTTAACCAAAGCCCACACACTGCCAGCATGACCACGACCTTCTTGGATATCCATAGGATAGTAGCCCGGTCATTCCCAAAATGATTCAACCTTTGCAAATAAAGTATGGAGTTCAAACAAAAACACCATATCTGGCTTAACCTTACGCAGTGTTTCTTTAAGATGAATTTTGTTCATCCTTCCTGCTGCCCTTCTAACATTCCACACTACTAGATTTTAATCCTTTAGCAACATTTTCTTGCTTACATTTGTTAAAATGTTACTATATATTATATAAATATGTTATTTTGTAACATTTTTTGAAAAATGTCATTATAGATAGAGTAATATTTTGTATTTCAATATTATTCTTTCTAATTGTTTTCAAAATCAAAGTCCCATATCGAGTAAAAAAAAATTTACATGTTATTTTGCAACATTTTTTTGAAAAATGTTACTATAATTGCTTCTAAAATCAAAGTCCCACATCGAGTAGAAAAAAATATATTTATCTTATATCTAATTGTACCTATAATTAAAGTCCCACATCAAATAGATTGATGACTCGCAAAGAGTATATATACTCATATAGTTATATTTAAGATAAATGAAATTTGATATTCTATATACAATTAGTGGTGACTAACTAAAAATGTATTTCCCTAAAAACTTAAAGAATTCCTAGAAGTTTAGGAGACATAGAAATATAATAGTTAATAGTAATATTTAAATTAAAATTAATTATTATTTTATAAGATTAAAAAAATCTTGGCAACATCATTAAAATGTTACAAAAAATTATTAAAATGTTACAAAAATACTACTTTGATAACATTTAAAAAATGTTACCTAATTATACAAAAATGTTACTAAAAGTCTTTAGCAACATGGACTATATACAACATTTGATAATATGTTGCTAAAATAAATTAGCAACATTTATACATAATTAAGTAACATTTTTTAAATGTTGCTAAATATCATTTGTGTTGTAGTGCCAGGCCAATATATTAACATTCATCATAATCCAACCAAATACAGAGGGGTGACACGTGCACTCCCCACGCAGTTAAGGCATGACTAGCGCTTCCTCCTCTAAATCCATATCACCTTTTGAGATACTCCCATCAAGTGTTTCCACCTCAACAACATTTTTTCCCACCAAGGTCGTACCCATCAAAGAGTCAGGTGGACGTGGCGTATGGAATGTAGCCACACATACATCCCTTACCACATCATGAGAACTAGTCTGTAACTTATCACCCCCACGTAGTCATGCAAATCCGCACATGAATGTCTCTCCTCAACGGGACCCACATGCCTAGACTTACTATGGTTAAATTGCCCCTCGCGTGTACTGGACCCCATAATTATACTTGTTGCATGCCCCACACCAAACCACGCATGATGGTTTCCTCCTGCCATACTTGTTCGAAACTTTATGGAATCCCTATGCACTTCCTTTTCTTGTCTTAATCGTTTACTCCTACTTTTGACCCATGTCTTTCGAGCTCAATCCACTTCCACTTTCTCAGCATTAAATTGACTATTCTTCAATACCACCAAATCAGCCTCATTTTGTTGCATGTATTGTTTCTTTTGCATATCACCATCAAGTAAAGATTCATCCTGTAAAATCCGGAAAGGATTTTTTTGAGACATAACTCGTGCCAAATCATTTTTGTTGCCTCCTTTGTTTCCGCCTTCCGTTACACCCCGTGATTTACTCATTTTCCGTGATTTTGAAACCACTAACCACTCC